CAAAAAAAAAAAAAAAATTACTCAAAGTCTATTTATTATTTGTATGGATTTTACATTTTCCCAGAAAAATATAAACGCTCAAAGGTTTCTTCCATTGGAATATAGAATTCAGCTTAGCCAAGAAACATTCACATCATACAACTGGTATACTCCGAATCAAGCAACCATACTTTCGAACTAAATAAAAACCCTTCGATAACTATCAGAACATTTTTCCAATCCAAAAGGAAATAGAGATACCTGCATCAATTGCATCGTAATTCATATCACCAAGAACTGAACGTGCTTTTTCCATCGACGACTGCTTCACATCAACACATCTCCCCAATCCAGTTCGAAACATGGTCGGGTTCTCCACATTCTCCGTTCCATTCTCCAATAACTCCGAACAACCTATAAATTCACAAAGAAAATACGAGAAATGCTTGTAAAAAACCCAAATATACGCACAATTTTCAGTTAACTGCGATGTCGATACGTACCTAGAAGCAATAGATCAGCCATGGAAGGGAGGCGGCGAGTGGCGGCGAGCTGTTGAGCTGCAGCGTCGTACTGTTCTTCTTCCTGGAGCTGCCGAACGGTCGTTTCCCACCGGAAATTGTTCTGGTCATCGGAGAATATCTGCCACGTCGACATTTCTCGGCCGGCGACTAGGGTTTCGCGGTTTTTTTTCCGTCAATTTTGTTATTCCGAGTGAAGTGAAGAGAGATGACATTCGGACATTTGGAATTTTTCACATTTTAAGAAAGCGGGAAACAAAAAATTAGCGAGTCAATTGTCGCGGGCGTATAGTTTGGGCTCAGATTGTATCCAAATTTGTGGGCCTTAGAATTATGAAGCCCAAAATTACTCTTCAAGCTTTTCTTGTAGTTGTATTCACCTTTGGGCTGACACAAATGGAAAGAGGACTCAAAAACTAAGCTCAAGCCCGTGTATCCCTCGCATTGGGTCCAAAGAAAACATTGCGGGTTGGGTTATGGGTAAATGTTGACGCCATCATGCTGGGTTGATGACGGCAGTGGGGTCCACAACATAATTAAAAAGTGGCGGGAATTATTAAGCTATGATATGATTAAAACATAAAAGGTAGTAGGCACGGGTCAGGCGGCCAGCAAAACCGAGTTTCAGCATCGAGGGCGACCCATAACTCGGCTCATAAAATGCAGGGTTACACTTTTTTTTTTTTTGTACAAAGGAAGAAGCTAGACGCCTAGTGATTTATGGTATGCACGTTCCACTGATAGGCTACACCAACGACCATGTTGTAACCACTGTCGGACCCCATCTGGCAGAGCACCAAAGAACTGTTACCCCAACGAACCTTCTACTGCGAAGGAAGCCAAAAAATCAGCTGCAAAATTCGCTTCACGGAATACATGTGTCACTCTGACCTCCCACGATCTACTCATAACTCTTTAATGCCCGACACAATGCCCGTGTGAACCCACATTGTGTCTTCAAGAGATGTAGCGAACCTCACGGCACTTTCATTATCGACTTCTGCTACAACCCGCCTACACCCCAAATCCCAAAAAGCCCCGAAACAAACCTCATAATTCCGCCGCTATAATCGAGCACAAGCCAATTTTTAGGTCAAACGCCCAAGCCAATGGCCTTGTTCGTCGCAAACCAGACCGTCGGCACATCCCATACATGACCTCGTATTAAAGGAGTCATCCGAGTTTATTTTAATTCATCCCGCCGAAAGTTTTTCCCAACATATCCATTGTGAGGATCCTATGCAGCCCGTTCCCCCAAGCTTTATATCACCTTCGAGCACACTCGAGAGCCCGTCGAATTGAGATAAAACTGAGATCAACTTTTTTATATTTGAAATTGAATTTATCTAGTTGATTCGAGTTTAATTGATTAACTACATAAATTATTTATTCATATTAAAGAAGGGTTAACCATATTAAGATTCCATAATCTCCTTTGGCTTAATATATCCTCTTTAAGTTAAATTAGTTAAATAATACAATGGGCAAAAGTCCGTGCACGGGCCAGGCTTGTCTCCCGCATTGATCACTATCTCCTAATATTTCAATTATGATATTCTTAAACAAAATTAATATGTAGTCGGCCAGATTTTATAATTTAGTTTTTTTAATAGTTAATGTGACCTTTATGGGTGTTAAAAAACTACATATTGTTTTATAAGACAATTTAATCATTAGACGGCCCCAATTCGTTATAATTTTTTTAACAAAAAGTAATATTTAAATGAGAGTATATTTGGCATAAAATTGAATAATTTGTCTTGATTTTAATGTGCGCTTTATATTTCAAAAAATTTAAGAATTTTTTATATGCCTTATATTTCAAAATAGAGAGAGTATATTTGTTTATTTATTTTGAGATATAATACTGCGAAATTAAATAGTTTGGTATGGGAGTCAGAGAAGACCAGTGTACTATTTATTATCTATGAATTCTTGAGTCAGTGAAGAGATTGATAGAATGTGGGAATTCCCATGATTTTTATTCTTTTCGCTTTTCAACCCCTATTCTTCTCCATAATTTTCAAATTGCCCTCTATTTTTTTTTAAATGTTACTATTAGTTGTAGTCTGTTAAATAATCTTTATTAATTACATTTATCATTTTTCTACAAGTTTTTTTGTTTGTCATAAACAGTACTCACATGTTGTTATATATATATATATATAGTACAACTGCAAACGAGTCGAGTCGAGTCGAGCATTGACCTTATCGAGCAGGATTGATTTTTTTTTTAGCTGCTCGAGCTTGACTCGGTAAAAAATTACAATAACTTTAGCTCGACTGGAAAATCAAAATGTCCGAGCTCGACTCAAAAAATTTTAAGTGGAAAGGTATTTTAGTTATTTAGTATGTATTTCGAGCAGCTCGACAAGGCAAAATATGGGCTCGAGCTTGACTCGATTTTGTGCTCGAGCTCGACTCAAGTTCGGTCAAACTCGAGCTCGAGTCGAGCTTTGACTGGAGCGGCTCGCGAGCTGCTCGGTTAGTTTGCAACCCTAATATACGGGTTGGTCAACCATTTCAATTTTAAAATTCTAATTCAACAAATCTTGCTCGTGATTTTTTTTTTTTTTTTT